CTCTAAATCACATGTATGACGTTTCTCTAGAGTCTAAAAGCCACATAAAAAAAAAACTATCTTCAACAATTATAGAATGACAAGAACAAATATGTGAATATAAATTTATGCTGTGGAATGTTAATGCATGTTTACAGGAATTTAAAGCGATCATACCAGGGTGTTTAATTAGAGGTTCTAATAAAAATTTATAAAAACATGCACCCAACCCTCTATTATCTTTATTTATTTTCTATGTAATAAGATATCCAGAAAAGCAGAAATGAAATACATGCTATTTATGAAATGCTGACTTGTTTACTCATCTAGAATTAACCCTTCAAAACAGCCATTTGTAGCTAGATAGGCATTACTCAAAAGCTAAATCTTCCTATTGCAGGTATGTCATATAAATCATTAATTAGACATTTATTAACATGACAAGACCATAATCAACTCTCTAGGTCATCCGATGGCTCAGATTGTAAGTGGATTAGAATGTTCAGCGATTTATTGATTTAATTTAAAAAAAAGAAGCGAGACAGAGTCTCGAACAAAAAGTATGGTGGTTACGATAATAAAAATTCAATCCACACATCTTGTCAAAACTACAAACATTGATGACTTCGCTCAGACTAAAGTAATTTGAATGCAATTTTCAATATACTGATTTTGCATTATCTATTTTTGAACTATTATAGAAGCTCTTTATCTAAATCTTACATAATGTACCATATCTTTAAATATACTAAACATCAATGCATAAACTGTTGAGAATTACGGAATATCCTATATGTATTTATCACCATTTTCAGAATAACTTAACAAAATGATATTTATTATAATATTTTGGTTGCTAGGAAATGATGTAATTGACAAACTTTGTGATGTGAACAACAAACGGTCACATTTCATTCAAAACTGATCATGCTCAACATGCTGTTCTGTTGTTTAATCATGCTGATGTGTTGCCTACAGGGAAATGTTGGACTATTCAGCCAGTTTTACCTAATCTAGAAATCTATTGTTATCTAAATATATCTAATCCTCTTACCTTTAATTAACTCATTACTGTATTATTGTTTATCATTAAGATAGGTTATTAGCATTAAATATGATGGTCATATAGTATCTTTATTGGTAACATTTTCATGTTAGATAAGAGAAATGAATGAATAATGCTCATGTTACAGCAGTATAAATAATCAATAGTCTTTCATTACTGCTACATATCCATTTGAATTACTACATGGTTTGCAAGACAGTAGAATTAACTACACGAACATGTAGTATTTGCTTAAATAAATACTAGCCTCTAGCCTATCTAAAAGCCTGCACATCACAGTCGATTTATTTGTTTATAAGATTGGAAGCATTGAGCTAGAGAACATCCATTCTAGTCATCTATGTAATACATGTTTTACTACATAAAAGTGAAACGATCCTTGAGGCTAAAACAATCCCCCCATAATATTCAATATTCTTCTATCACTGCATCATTACTTATAATAATTAATCATTAGCGCTACCATTCAACAATCATTAGCTTAGTCAGACATATGCAATATTAATAAGTTGTAAAAATATCTAGCTATGTTAAATGAAGTGATGTAAACAATCTAATGAGCTTAAATCTCATGAACAATTCTTCGCCTCGTTGCCAATGAATGGTTCAGACATGCGAGCTAAAATCAATTCAAACCTAAATTATTTTCTTCTGGCAAAAGACTTTAGGCTAAACGATAAGTAAGACTTGATGTCATTTGGTACATGTACTCTCAGTAACATATCAAAGGGTAATAAAAATCGTGCATTTTTAAATGTGGCCCAATCTGTAAGAACCGGCAAATAGAACTGGAGAAAAAGCTCTGATACATAAGTTTTTATCCATTGCTTCAGTTTTCCAGTATATATTAGAAGTCATTTGTCCTTCACAGCCAGGATGGACTTAGTTGTCAAGGATATCAAGATGCCATAGAACAAGCTGAAAACATTTTCTATTCTTGACAATGTATCACTGTTCATCCTTACTACATATACAGTGCATGAATTTCATCAGTACTATAATGTCATTGGAACATTATTAACCAAATGCAATTTTGATATACACAGGACAGAATATCGTGGAATACAATTATTATTTATTACCAAATTTACCAGGAAACTGTACTTTTGTTTGGTTAGAATGGCAAATACATGAATAAAATCCCTTATACGTTCAGTGAATTATTTTGCACGAATACAATTTTTCGCTTTGACATTGTTACAAACAGAAACAAAGGCCTGAACTCTGGAAGTAATATACCAAAATTGTTGAAATTCAATAGGATTCTTTGTTTCAATAGGATTCTTTGTTTCACTAATTTAAATAATGCATATAAATTTCATACAGATCAGATGAAAACTTTTGTCGTTTCAGCATTCACAAGGTTCTACAAAATGAAACAAGGGCCATAACTCTAGACATAATTAAGGAAAATTGCTGAAATTCAATAGGGTTCTTCATTTTGCTAATTTTAATAATGCATATCAATTTCATACAGATCTGATGAAAACTTTTGTGGTTAGAGCATTCACAGGGTTCAACAAAGTGAAGCAAGGGCCATAACTCCAAATGAAATTAAGAGAAATTATTGAAATTAAATAAGCTTCTTCATCTCACTAATGTAACAACATATATCAATTTCAAAACAATCAGATGATAAATGTATTCTGTAGAGTGTTCACAAGAAATTGTGGACGACGAACGGACAGGGGCATTGGCAATATACAACCACATTTCCATGTGGGCGTATAAAAATGACGGTAGCTAACATTTTGGGGAGCAGGAATCAATCCTTCTCTTTAGCAGTGAATTTTTTTTTTGGGGGGGGGGGTGGCTTGAAATTTACTATTATAAAAGACTATTCAGTCAAAGCAACAGAAAATCAATACGACAAAAGGATATTCAAAATCTAATTTACAATCAATTTCATGTTGCATTGTTTCTGTATTAGTTTACAAAATAAAGCTAATAAAACACCTTTTCACCTCCGATAATATTGTGTTGATCACTACCATTGTATTCATTGTCACGGATGACGTGCACTGACGTCATGAAACTCGTCACGCAAAAAAATTCACAGGGATAAAATTCACTTTGTGGCAAAATAAGAGGAAAAGATGTGGAGAAACTGTTGAATGTAATCAGGATTGTTGATCAATATAGTATTTAAGTGAAATGAACTAGGGTTACTCATACCCCAAACTAATTTTGATTGTTTCTCCCTCATTGATTTTGATAGTAGATGATATAACTGTTATTAATGTTTGGGTGAAAGTTAAATGTATAATATAGTTATCACACAGTAATACACATCTATAATACAACCACTGTTGACAATATAAAATATGGCTAAATAATGACGAAGATGTCCAAATATAAATCAGCCTGCACAAACCTGCTTAATGCAGAATTGAGGCAATCTATCACACTTCTTAAAACTGTTTTCAGCCAGATAGGAAGGGTAATCAGGCATGGACTAAGCAATCCAGTGTTTAATTACAGGCCTACCTATCAGCCAAAAGCTTTTATAATCTTATTACATTTGTAACAGTGAGGATCGTGACTTATTTGATGGAGACTACTTACACTAAATTGATTCTAAAGTGCTTCCTGATTAACTTTTTCTACAAACGAAATTGTTTCTTAAAATCAAAATAGACATTGTTGTTCTGATTGGATATAGTACAAAAGGTCTTAGCTTTTTGTTTTAACCTTATTAACGGTAAACTAATTAAATCCAGATTCTCAACAATCAAGCAATGATCAAATGTCCTTGATGTCCTCTCCTCAACTTGGGAGAACATTTTTTTTCACTGCAGCGATAATTATGTGTTTGATGTTGTGATTTAATTTTAACATCTGGCTTTTACAATAACATCACTGTACAAAAGTAACTTTTCTTGACATTTAAAGCATGTTATTTGTTTTTTTATTAACGCTCCAAAAGGAATTTGTTCTACTTTAGGATTTGTTTACGAAATGGATTGTCATTTTAAGAATATAGCTTATCATGCTTCTGTCAGCTAGTTTTGGAATAAGCAGACTGTGGGTGACAAGCCATAAAAGAAGTACTGTCTCAGCAAAAATAGTTCTGCACACATTGTCAGAGATTATATATTTGTGGAAATTCAGAATAAAGGTTAATTAAGATTGGCTCCAACTACCAGGTATTTTGGTTCACTAATTTGAGTTATCACTTCATTTACAGTGCAATTGTAAATTCTATTACTTTTGACACCTTTTTATCATAAAATATTGTTTAGTGTCAGAAGTATATGATATCATATCCACACCAACAAGATTAGAACAGCTGAATGGAATCCATCTTTAAGGTTGAATTACTTAAGATTAATTGAGATGTTTATGATTTTCAAGAGTAAAATTAGATCAATTTACTATCTAACTTCAATAAGTGTTTGAGTGATGAATAGTCATAATTTCTGCATCTTTCTTTAAGAATATTTGTAATAAAGTATTGTTCATCAGGAGATAAAGCCATAAAAGTCATTCAAGGAAGGACAAAAAACAAGCACCTTGCTATTGGAGCTATAAAAAGCCTTTCATTAGATGCCATCAGTTTGCATGCCAATATGGTGTTAGTTTTAATACTTGACAATCAATGGAACACAACAAGAGATTCACATTAGTGGCCTGAATTAAGACCAAATTTGAAGGTATTGATCAAAATTGGAATAATTGAAAAGCCACAAGAATACTAGGCGTATAGAATGGTTTTCAGCGGACGACACAATAATTAACAAACAGAACAAGTATGCTGGTCAAATTTTCTCTCTCAACTTCCTTGGCATTAAGAGAACTGGTTATAAATGGGTGTGAATAGTGAAGGCGTTGAGTGATAGTGGGTGAAAACAGACATTAATACATTAGAACATGTAATGTATTGACACCAGTAAAGGTGATTAGAAGTGTAGATATTACTAGTCAGGAACCTTCATTGATTTACGAAGCTGCTTACCTTCCGTTCAGTGACAGCGTACAAATATTGTTTGGCCTCATCCAAACGTAAATCAGAATATATGGGACTACCTTCTTCCACAGCAATATCCTTATACTCAGTAGCATTACTCTCCACAGCCACCTTAAAAATACAATTAGAAAATCACATACATAAGAATTTAATTAATATATTTAATACATATGTTTCTGGGTTTATATTGTAACAGGTTGTTTTATACTTTAATAAATTTGTAATTAAAACCACAAGGTAACATGTTATTATATTACCCTATTCTATTTTTAATTAGAAGTCAATCAAATGTTTTGGTTACAGATGGAGAAAGTAAAAATAAGACAAAAACAAGATTTCAATAGTATCTTTTTAAATGTGGTCAGTAGCTGATTAAGCAACACTTAAAACCAAGAAGCAATGGGCCTACAAGGTGGAAAAAACATCTGCAACACATACAGATACATGTACAAAAGGCACAAGAATTTGTAGGGAATAGGTATAATACTGCTGAACAAAGCCATACAGATTTCAAGGACTTTTAGGGCATTAGGTCATGACCTATGGTATGTGGTAATCTGCCAATGTGTCTAACATCCATTTTCAATCTAAAATATTAATGTTTTCATCAGAAGGGTAGGTTAAATCAAATATTTTATTACTCATTTTTGTCCCCCGCCTTTCGAAGAAAGCAGGGGACTATTAAAATGGGTTCGTCCGTCTGTCTGTCTGTCTGTCTGTCCCGTCTGTCTGTCCGTCTGTCTGTCCGTCACACTTTTTGGGACACAATAACTCTCTTCCTAATTGAGCTAGAATGTTCAAACTTGGTGTATGTGTTTATTAGGTCAATGCCTTGATGGAGTTCGAAGATGAGCATTTTCCGCTTAGGGTAAGCAGAGATAAGCAATTTGATTGGTTGATGCTTTGGGACACGATAACTCTCTTCCTAATTGGGCTAGAATGTTCAAACTTGGTGTATGTGTTGATTAGGTCAATGCCTTGATGGAGTTCGAAGATGAGCATTTTCCGCTTAGGGTAAGCAGAGATAAGCAATTTGATTGGTTGATGCTTTGGGACACGATAACTTTTAATTGAGCTAGAATGTTCAAACTTGGTGTATGTGTTTATTAGGTCAATGCCTTGATGGAGTTCGAAGATGAGCATTTTCCGCTTAGGGTAAGCAGAGATAAGCAATTTGATTGGTTGATACTTTGGGGCACGATAACTCTCTGCCTAATTGAGCTAGAATGTTCAAACTTGGTGTATGTGTTGATTAGGTCAATGCCTTGATGGAGTTCGAAGATGAGCATTTTCCGCTTAGGGTAAGCAGAGATAAGCAATTTGATTGGTTGATGCTTTGGGACACGATAACTTTAGTTCTAATTAAGTGAGATTGATGAAACTTGGTGTATAGTTTCATTACATCAATACCTTGACTAAGTTCAATCATGAGCATTTTCTACTCAGGCTAAGCAGAGCGATAAGCAATTTGATTGGTCGAGACATTGGAACACAATAATTCACATTCTAATTGATGTAGAATGTTCAAACTTGGTGTAGGCTTTCATTAGGTGAATGCCTTGATGGAGTTCAATGATGAACATTGTATGCTTACGGTAAGCAGAGATAAGCAATCTGATTGGTTGATGCTTTGGGGCATGATAACTTTGAGAGAGATGAAACTCCGAATATAGATTCATTATATCATTACCTTGACTAAGTTCGATGGTGAAAATTTTCTGCTAAGGCTAAGGAGCAATAAGCAATTTAATTGATTGGTCAAGACTTTGGAACATAATAACTCTGCTTTTAATTGAGGTAGAATGTTTAAACTTGATGTAGATGTTCATTAGGTGAATGTCTTGACTAAGTTCAATGATTAACATTTCGAGCTGAAGCCAAGCAGAGCTTATCAGTTTCATAATCTTGATTCTATTTGATAGACAGTGATGAAACTTAGTCTATAGTTTAACTGTTCGATACTTTTGAAAAAAATAAATGTTCTATTAATTAATACGTGTCATCTAATTATTTTGCTATTTCGGCGGGGGACATCAGCCTCACTGTTGGCTTGTTTGGAACAATTCATCCATGGCCAATTACAGTCTCATTATAAACTACTCTATTCATATCACAACTCAGTGACTTGTAGCATTCTTGTTTAGAAATACTTTACCTTTTTAATGTGTCCATTTTTTGTACCAACAAAAGCTACAGTGTAGTTGTAAGTAGTGGCTGTCACAATAGAAGTAACAAAGGTATTTGTATATTGCAGTAAAGGTTTAGCCTTGATATCTTTAGTACCAGATACAGGGAAATTATATTCATCACCACAATAATCATCCGTTATACTCACATTCTAATTTTAAAAAAAAAAAATGCATAAATTCAGTCATATAAACATGTGATAGAATATAATAAGATGATATTTTGTACTACATACAAATTACATTTATAATGACATGTATTGCATGTAGATGTGAGTTTTTACACACCTGAAATTGAATATCAATGAATCATGCAGACCGTGTAACATTTTACATGTCCCTGTTTATTTTATGATAAGAGATTTACATACACTACATGTTTAATAATGTTTATATTGTAAGAAAAGGAACCCAGATGATAAATAAATGTACAGGCTGTTTGTCAGCTGTTACTAGATCAATTCAAGTCAACATTTGCTGCAATGTCAAATGTCATCATTAATGATGGCTAATGTAAATTTGTAGGAACATTTTTAAAGTTTGTTAAATAAAAACCTTATCAAAATTTTGCCCAGATATAATGTACATGTACACATTACAATATAATGATAGTAACTAAAACAATTTTTGAGATTTTTGTATGTTCAAAAGTAAATATACAGGACATGTAAGTATATGTAGATGATATATTGACAATGAACAATGTATAACATCCTGTTCACACATGACATACATTGTAGATTATTGAAGATTAACATGAATTTTTTTATGATTCAAAGTTCAAAGAGTTTCACATATACTATTCAAAAAAAGGAAGGGGATATTTGATTTTTAAGTGTTATTAAAGTCACCTAATGAAACTGACGAAGAAACAAATGACAAAATGAAATGAAGTTCACATTCATCGATTTATTCCAAATGATCGTTAGACTAAGTAAGGCACAGACTGACCATTATAAGGGTAAAATGATACCCGGGGTCAAACAGCAAAGTTACCACAGCATCACAACCAAGTCAGTAACGGGTAAATCCTCCTCTGTTTGCCAAACAAGCATTGATCCGACGTGGCATACTCCTAATGAGACGTCTAAGGTCATTTTTGTCCAGATTGTCCCATTCCTGTTGCAACGCAGCAGCAAGTTCTTGGACATTGGCAGGACGTTGTTGACGTTGACGTAACCTCTGTCCAAGCATGTCCCAGACATGCTCGATGGGGGAGAGGTCGGGACTCAGTGCTGGCCAAGGTAATGTGGTGATGTTCTGTTGTTGGAGGTAACCTGTAACGATCCTGGCCCTGTGACATCTTGCGTTGTCATCCTGGAAGATGAAACGGCGGCCATGACGTCGTGCGAACGGCACAACATGGACTGCCAAGATGTTGTCCCGGTAGTACTGGCCTGTAACACGCCCTGCAACAACATGTAAAGCCGTTGTTCCAGCAACAGTGATGCCTCCCCACACCATAACAGAACCACCCCCAAATCGATCATGTCTGATGACGTTAACGTCTTGGAAGCGCTCGTTCCGACGACGCCACACCCTCCTACGTCTGTCCAAAAAATCAACAGTGAACCTTGACTCATCTGAAAACATCACATTGCTCCAGCGTCGATTATCCCAGTGTTGACGATCCCTACACCAACGACGTCTTGCCTGAATGTGATGATCTCTCAAACAAGGGATCACGCGAGGACGTTGGGCGCGAAGGTGACCCCTATGCAGTCGATTCCGAATCGTCTGGCCACTCACTCTCACACCAGTGTCTGTTTGAAGACGAGCGCTGATCTGATTTGCTGTGATGACACGATTTCTCAAGGCCAAGGTATGGATAAATCGATCCTGCACTTGAGTTGTCGCCCTTGGTCGACCTGAGCGTGGTCTGTCCTGTACAGATTGTGTATCACGGTATCTGGACCATAGCCTGCTTATGACAGACTGAGAAACATTCATCGTCCGCGCCACAACCGCCTGTGTTGTGCCGATCTGTAGCATGCCAAGGGCACGTAACCTTTCATTTTGGGTAAGCCGACGCATATCAAAATTTGTTTTCTGGTCACTAAAACAATTAAACTGATGTTTCCACCCTGGAATTCAATGCCACAATGACTGTAACATTCAAAGTCAGAGTCGTGCAAATCTTGGGTTGGACCCCCATGATGATCCCAAGCATCACATGCATTCCATGCGGTAGCTATTGGTGCGTTTGGGCGTCACATGTAACTGGAAATGGTTCTATAGTGATTTTTTTCGTAGTCATTTGCATATTTTAGTATTATGCCGCCAAAATCAAATATCCCCTACTTTTTTTGAATAGTATATATCATACATCCTTTTCTAGAATGGTTGAAGTAAGGTAAGATATGCCCACTAGCAGCTGTAATACTAAAAAGACTGTGCATCATATGATTTTTATTCATCTCTTTTTGTTTTAGAGTTGTTGGCACACGTCAGGATTGAACCTGGGATATTCTAGTCAAGAGGCCGTAACCTTTACTGCTGGACTAGGTCAGTAAAGAGTTGAGTTGTGTACCGGTATGTCAACAGTTTTTAGGTCGACACACACCATAAGATGTGCATGTAGAAATGTCAACACCTGTACATGTACCATTAGATATATTATAAAAATATTCATATTTCCAGAAGATCCTTAACTGAAATCTAGGTGTAAAGATAGGTTGCCAGGCAATGAAACATATGCCCACAGCAGCTAAGTTGAGGGCATATTTTTTCTTTTGTCAGTACACAAAAATATGATTACTTGTAATAACCCATGAAGTAATTATCAGAAAGCATTGAATTTGTTTCAATTGTTTGTATTAACTTTAGCCTCTAGAACATCTACAAGACTTTTCGGAGTGATCAAGATACATGAATCTGCCAGTAATTATCGGAAATTGTTGAAAATGAATAGGATTCTTTGTCTCAAGACCTTAAACACTGTGTATGAATTTAAAGTCAATCGGATATTAACTTCAGCCTCTAGAGCATCCACAAAACTTTTCAAAGTGTTCAAGGGCCATAACTCTGGCAGTAATTATCAGAAATCACTGAAAATCAATAGACTTCGTCTCATGACTGTGTATAAATTTAAAGTCAATCGGATAGTAACTTTAGCCTCCACAACAGCTTGTGGATGCCGGACGGCCAGACAGGGATGACGACAATATATGACCACATTTTAATGTGGGCATATAAAAATGTAGATACCTACATCAGTCAAGTATTTTTGTCATGCAGAGAGCAACATTATTTAGTTTATTTCTACGAAAATTGACAGTGTCGCACATTCATGGCAAGATCCAATCAGTGACTGTACAAATGCATTGGCCAAATTTACCCTCTTATTTACAAGTTCACACTGATTTTACCTGTAGTAAATAGGTAGAGATCAAAGTTTGTGTTCGTACTGACAAGATTAGATCAGCAGATGAAATGGATTAGTCTGTTTGGTGGCACAGAATAATCTATCACTTGTTGTACCTTCAACTAAATTAAAATCTTTTGGTGATAAAGCCTTCAGTGTATATGGTCCACGACTATGGAATGACTTACCTGACAAAATAAAGTGTTCAGAAACAGTTGCTCAATTTTGATCTAGACTTAAGACGCATATGTTCACGATGTATTATCCACAGAAGCCATTAACTTACAGCGCTTAGAGCATGCTCATGGATGGATTAAGCGCTATATAAATGTACATTATTATTATTATTATTGTCATGTGTCACGTAATTAGATGTTGAATATCTCATGGGAAGGAATCAGCTTCTGCTAGCACCTTTGGTTTCTAACAAATCTCATTACTCAAAGTAATGCATTTCCATACATCAAGCTGGTTGGTCTCCCCATGTGACCACACCCTTAGTATGAGTATAAAAAGTGATGACAAGATGAAGACATGCAGTTTTTTGTAACTGGATGACCTTTCCTTAAAGCTACTGGTAAAAAGCTATTTGTAGGACATATACATGTACATGTATGTACATGTGGTAATATTCTCTATGGAAACTGTGACATTTTCGTTACCGGGTATAAACATTTTCTTTTTCTGGTAACATTTATACAGGTATGTCTGATGTCAATATGACATTATGTAAGGTCCATGTACATGCATGCCTGTGAAACTAAATATTTCTATAAATAAAATGCATGCAATCACTAGTCTACATACATATACAACACATTTACCCATAACTATAAAATCTTATTATAGAACATTTTAAAAGATCCACTGCTTAATGGTCAAAATTCTGCCTTCCCCTTTCATTGTACAACATAAAAATAATAGTCAGTCTAAAGATGGCACATATATTGTAATGGCAAGAAGTTAAAGCACATGCCTTTACTTTCTTTGAATTCAAACTCTGGTCAAGGAAAAATTTACTTATTCATTTTATGAATTAATGTAATCTCATCAGCACAAAATACATTTGGCTACATGTGTATATTACATGTGTATATTACATCAAGTCAATTTACACGTAAAACATTCAATGTAATAAATTTACTTACAACAGCTATACATTTGTTGCTGGAAATAATGTGATCTGGTCCTGTATTACCAATGCCACTAAAACATTGCTGTATATTTTCCGTGAATTTTTTCCTGATGCCTCGTAAGGAGTAGACACACATAGCTGATGTTCCAGTAGGATTAACAGAGTTGGGATCGCCCTTAGAAAATACTGCATACAGAACATCCTCCGTTGTAGGGATTCCCAACTCACGAGCTAATTTCGTGCCACTTCTACCTACATGTGCCGACTGAACCAAGTTATATTCTAGATTTGTCTTTGGATCTTTACAACTAAGACCAACTTCAGCATACGAGTAATAATTCTTATCATTTTGACAAACTCGGGCAATTTTGGTAATGAATCCAGATGATAGCACACTTGCTTTTTGAATAGTAAGAACATAACTAAAATTTTCAGAGCCAAAGCCATACACATAGCGTACAATAAAGGTGTCACGATGTTGAGATTCAATCTCTATTGCAGAAGTTCGGAAATTGATCAAACCTTTGTAAACTAGGTTGAAGTCTGTTAACGAGCGACTACAGTACGCAGGCACTTTGTCTCGATACGCAGGTAAACCGGTACGTGTGTATGAGGCTGCTACATATAACACTTCAGGTTGTGGTTCTCCTTTCTCAACAGCAGGACCAGGAGCGATGAACATGACTGTGGAGGCTGTGGCATTGTTGGCTACTATGGGTATGAAAGACACCTCATCCTTGACAGTAATGTTATCTAAATGCCGTCTCTCACATTGCCCATGGAACAAGGTAGAACATATTATGAGTTTCTGATTGGTATAATCTATCACTAAAGCTTTGGTATAATACATCATTAATTTACAGTTACAGTTTCCTTCACAAGTTAGATTAGTTAGTATAGAACACTTTGGGTCGTCTTTTTGTGGTCCTGTCTGCACTTCTTGTAGTATCTCCAGTTCCGGGTTCAGTTTGTACAGATAGTTAACAGTCCCTAGAAATAACTCATTGGTTTCTCTATTAATGACCAATTTGTTGAATATTCCTCGATCTATGGGGCCTTCAAATGTTTTTACAATATACCTATTGCTGGCCACCGTGTCCGTGAACACCCACAGGAGTAATAACAAAAGCTTAAATGCCATTTTGGCTTCTTCTTTCTAAGACACCATTTCACTCAAATCTGAAAAGAGAATAAGAAATTTAAATTATTTCTAAATTCTAAAAATAAATCTAATTTGGATAGAGCCATATTTAAAACAACCTTAAACTCACTTGGATATCTAAAATAAAACACTGATCTACTTAGAATGAGGTTTTTGTTGATAAGCATTTGTTAAAACTGCTTAAACGATACTTCAAAATTTGTATGACTTGAAAATCAAAACATGTACATCTTTAGTGAATGTTTGGCAGATCTGTCTCAAAGTTTACACACAAATGAACTGTATATTATTCACAGGCCAAGTAATTGTATAGTCAAATTTTACTGTCAAATCGAAAATTATTTTATTACTAACCAACGAATGTCTCCAAGGCGTTGATGCCTCTTTAACTTATTACTCTAGGTAGAAGACAATAAAATCAGGTGTTTTACCGCCCACTTCAGTGAATCACTCTTGACTCGAGGAAATAACAGAATCAGGGTGTCACTAACCAGTTGAAATAAGGATAAAGTCTACATTTTAAGACCAGAATTTTTTTCCAATCAATATAGTTTTAGCTTGCCTATAGTAAAGTCAGTACATTAGTTTAAGACAAAAAATTTTGTTGTCAGAGGTAACATGTTAGTGAGTTTCCGAGAATGTAGACTGAGTATTGACTGGGAAAACAGATATTTTTGTCTGTGTTTGTGTGTAGGTCAACATATATGAATAATAAATCTATCTTTATACCCACATCATCACATGCAAGTATATAATTATGAAAACATCAACTTAGAGAAATTTATTCAATTGGACTGGCATGTCTATTAGAACAAAACACCTCAGTGACATTTTTGCATCATGGACACAAGTCACAATAGGCCTGGATAGTGTAATATTGAAATTCTCTGTACCTTTCATCTTTTCTTTACATTTAGTTCCATTGATAACTGTATGGGCCTATACTACATCCAACACAAATCACAACTAAAATTGGAGTATTTTATAATTGCCATATTGACCTTTACATCAGAAAATACTCCAAATAATTTCAAGCCTTTGATAACAATTAATGATAGAACAGCTGGCTCTGGGCTGTATTTGACACTAAAATCTGCACATAAACTACAGAAATCTGACTACACCGAGTGCAGACAAGCCATAGAATTCAGTCAATTATCCACGGTTACAACACTTGATCATCATAGAAGAACATCTTCACAATAAAGCCATTGTTATGTAAAAACTAGATTTCTCTCTGATTGAGATATAAACAACAATCTCTCTGCCTCCTCTACTAAATGTACTAACCCAGGTCACTCCAAATACCAAGCATGGTTCTATTCTCTTGTTGACAGAAGTAACCAATCAAAACACAGAGTAAAGACACCCCAGCCAATGAGAGATGATTTTCTGGTTCTGCTCTAGTGATATTTTGGTTTTAGTTACACAATGTTCTAACTCATCTGGTTTTAGTTATCTCATCCTCTGTCTCTTTATACCAGCCACTGATAGATTGATTAATGGTCTAATACCTTTATCTAGCTCTATCTTCAATTGTAAAACAATAAAGGATAACATAGGGTTCAATTGTTATCTTAATGGCTATATCAATGAAGGAACAGAAAATATACACAGAACAGAGAATGGCTAATATGAACATAAAGAACATAACACCCTAGGGTATCACCATTTAAAGTCTAATTGTAGGTTCTTTGTTTATGAATTATTGATTTAATGACAATTACCATAAGACAGTAATAAAGGGGAATGGACAGGTAGCTGGGATAATAGTCATAAAATATTTTTCTACTACAGTCAGTTGTATCTAGATCTTTTCTGACATTTAAAAATACAAATTGTAAAATTTTAAGCTATTAAAAGTATTTAGTTATCAAAATATCACTGTCAGTGTCCGGTCTTGTTTAAATTTGGAAATCATTCCTATTCATGACAACAAGAAAACTATTTCACTTACACAAATATCAATACAACCAGAAGTAGCTCTACTATATTCACTGAAGTATTTACCTTACAAAAATATTCTTTGCTTGTACATTCTATAGTAATAAAATAATTTCAGTAATGAATACCCCAAAACAATGAAACAAAAATTTTGAAAATGGTAATGGTTAAAATAAAATGAAAAACATGAAGAACATTCAAAATATTCTAACACAATGGAATAATTACATTCTTTCGGTTAGATATGAATTTAACGTGATATTACCTTGTTTTCTGTTTAATAATAACTCTAAAAAAAAAACTGACATGTTTGTCATGTACCGGTATTAAAAATAAATAAATACACAATCATTATCACTAATCTTTAAAGCTTACAGTACATGTTTTCTTTTAATTTTCCAGTGACATAAATATTTGAAACGGTTTTATGATTATTTTGTGCAAAATAAATTAAGCTAATACTCTAAAGATAGTCAATATGTTAACTTGAAAATTTAATTTAAAATGATAATAAAATGCATGATTTTTATCTTGCCAGCTGCTGCAGGTACTTAACATATGGATTAAATATGTTTAGCAACTGTTCCTTAATAATTAGTGGGTTTTACTTCTTTTCATTATTTGAGCTAGATGGATTGAAAGTCTGTTATTAGCAAGTGACCTAACATTCTAGAAGTTTTTATTGAAATTAAAAAAAATGGAAAAGAAAGAAAAAAGTTTGCAATCCCACAAATTTAATTTTAAAAGCTATTTCTATGATACCCTAACCAATTTTATTAATAATTCTGAAACTCTATTACGTTCAGAAATACTATAATATTAAAAGCAATCTGATCAATTCTACCGAACTGACGTGCTTTTAATGTGTTAAAAGTGAAATCACATGATCCATAGTTCATAGATAATGAATATTAAATTCAATACAATAGCAATAAACTGAATACCATGCTGTGAATATTTTGGCTATTTTAACCGGACACATTGCTAAGATTAGCATACATTAAAATTCAATCATTTATGAGCCTTGTCCCCAAACTCACAAAATAGAGTATAATACAATGAAAAATATTTCATTTTCTGTTGGTTTGCAAAGGCTTTTCAATAAACATTAAGGTGGTTGGGAGATCCCCTTTATATTTATTTAGAACTTTAAAGATTGGTTGTGCATAACCTGTGGAAGGGGGGTGGGGTTCCAGAAGGTGAATCAAGTGGAGTTATGGAGATTGTGCTTGGAAGGCAAATAATATAAATAATAAAAGCGTGTCACTTTTAGAAAATCATAAACTCAAAGTGGGAGATGGAGTTTGTGAGCTGAGCTCCTTGACAATATTCTGGCTTTCCAGGATATGCAAGTTGCTACATCTAAGCACTACATAACGTTTTATACAGTCAGTTTGTAGTTAATTGTAAGACTTGTACATATGTAGGTATTTCCTGTCAATCATTGTCAAAATATCTTATCTTCTAGTCTAGACAATCTCTTCATTCAGACATAACAGATCCATTTCACCATGTCTATCGATTCAAGATTACGAAGGTGGTAAATAGACTTGTTGATTTTCAACACCAGTCTACATTGACACTAGTATTGATTATATTGATTTATATTTTAAATATACTCAAATTTCATTGTTTTAATCTTACTTTGTTGGCATGCAGCATACAACCTTGAAAAAATATACTCTTAACATTTAAAGCTTACTTCCTAAAATAGGGGATGGTAACAAAAGGCAGTGTATGCATTGCTTCTAACTGTATACATTATATAGTCCGTATAGATTCATTTTGTTTCAACTCTTTTTTTCAAGCATATTATCAAGACTGTTATGTTCAAGAGAGGTGGGTTTTAGTGTCAAGATTTTGTTTCAGTTGCTAGGTCTTGAGATACTTATGTACTAACATTCAGATTTATTGTAAACACAGCCGAACGAGACTAGAGTAATACGATGTGTGGGGAATGGTCCTTTTATTATGTACTAGCAGGATACCCGGCTTCGCTCGGGGGTCATAACTCCGAAACCGGAAGTGGTAGACTAACGCCACCTGGTTTTTGTTACTCCCCGGTCCGAGCTACCCCTATACCCCAAATTTCAGACTCGGGGCAGACCTAGTGTAGCCGCCAACCCCGAACAGACCGGCTTCGCTCGGGGGGGGTCATAACTCCGAAACCAGAAGTGGTAGATTAACGCCACCTGGCCTATGTTACTCCCCGGTCTGAGCTAACCCTATACCCCAAATTTCAGACTCGGGGCAGACCTAGTGTAGCCGCCAACCCCGAACAGATAGACAGACAAACGACAGTCACAAATATATATATAGATTGCTTTTTTGGGTTGCCTCCCCTATTTGTGTAGGTTTCGTTTGCGTTGAATTTTAAAAAGTAGCAAAACTTTTTATACAGACTTCAATCAGTATTTCAGTAACGATCATGTGGTACCAAAATGACAGCATCGTCATCTTGTGATCACATGGTGTTTGGGTCATTCATGTGAAATCAACATCGGTCTCTTTTGAATTAATGTTGGTCAGTTGCATTGAACAGTCTTTGTTTGTGGGAAATTTAAAAAATGTATAAAATATTTGTTTTATTAGATGCCAACAAATGTTTGTCGGTCTGCAGCGGACTTTACTATTATTACAGTACTTATACTGTTGTTACAGATTTCATGTATCAAGTTGGTATGCTGAGTAAATCATATTTTAAAGAATTTCAATTATATATTACTAGAATACAATCTCTTGTTATTTATTCTGTTTTAAAATATCAACATTACATGTATATATAGGTGTTGTCAAACTATACAATAATCCATAAGGGTAGTTTATTTTGTTGCCAACTTTTAAAAAAAACCAAACACTTTATTGTCTATAAAAGGAGCCAAATCTAATATTATCATAAATATAAAGATAGGTTGCCAGGCAACGAAACATACGCCCACAGCAGCTATATCGTCCGGGCAGTCAACAAGAGTTGTCACATATTTTTACTTTTTTTCGGTAATGAAACATTTATAATACATTAAAAACTGATTAAGAGTAACAACTCATTAAGTAATTATCAGAAAACCATTAGAATTTGTTTGGTTTTTATAAAGTTCTGCCCCATGCTAACGTTTAGTATACAAAACTTTTAACATCATGGATTTAGCTGTTCCAAGTCATAAAGATTCATTGAAAATCAATATACTTGTTCGTCTCAAGACTTTAAACACTGTGTATAAATTTAAAGTCAATCGGATATTAACTTTAGCCTCCAGAGCGTCCACAAGATTTTTCAAAGTGATCAAGGGCCATAACTCTGGCAGTAATCATCAGAATTCGCTGAAAATAGGCTTCTTCGTCTGATGAATGACCGTATACACTGTGTATAAATTTAAAGTCAATCGGATATTAACTTTGACCTCTAGAGCGTCCACAAGACTTTTTGAAGTGATCAAGGGCCATAACACTGGCAGTAATTATCAAAAATCGTTGAAAATCAATAGGCTTCTTCGTCTCATGACCTTAAACACTGTGTATAAATTTAAAGTCAATCGGATATTAACTTTGACCTCTAGAGTGTCCACAAGATTTTTTGAAGTGATCAAGGGCCATAACTCTGACAGTAATTATCGAAAATCGCTGAAAATCAATAAGCTTCTTCGTCTCATGACCTTAAATACTGTGTATAAATTTAAAGTCAATCAGATATTAAATTTAGCCTATAGAGCGTCCACGGACGGACGGGGGCGACAACAATATATGACCATTACGACCACATTTCAATGTGGGCGTATAAAAATAACTTTCAGTTTTTCTTTTAAAAAAAACACAAATCTACAAAATTAAGAAAAAAATTTGGGACATATATTTTTAATCTTCATTTTTTTATAAAGGTCATGTAAAGGTTATGTTTAATAAATTTCGATGGATTGTTAGTAATATTGGAATCTGGATTAGAGAACTATTGTACAACTGTACATGTTATTTTATCTATATCTGGAATTATTATAAATAATACATATGTTACATGTGTGTCTACCTATATGAACGATTAGATCAACAGACAATATTTCCCCAATAATTTAGTCTATAATTTGATCTTATCAATGTATAATACAATATAGCCTTTTGTCTGCATTTTAAAGCTGCAACATGCCTGAACAAAAGTTAAATACTGGGTATAAATATACCATAGTTTAAAACCAATATAGACAATAACAAGTGTGATTTCATTGAAAAAATATTCTGGTCCAAACCATTATTCAAATTGATCAATTCTAACGACCTAACGTCTTAGATAGTAATAATAATTCGGCTCTCTTCTATCTTACAA